TCCGGGCATCTGTAAGGCAGAACCCTGGGAGACACGGTGACCCCAACCGTGTTTGGGATTCCACACCAACAGCCCAACCAAACAGTTGGAATTCAGCCCTAACGAACAACAGCACATCCTCTAAAAGAGTGACGTAGGCCCTGCCTGGCCAGTTTGGTTCAGGGGTTAGAGTGTCTGCCCGCGGACCAATGAGTCTCAGGTTCGATTCCAGTCAAGGGCATGAACCTCAGTTGCGATTCGTCCCCAGCCCTGGTTCGGGTCGTGCGGAGGCAGCCATTTGATGTGTCCCGTTCACATCAAAGTTTTTCCCTCTCTCTTCCTCTCCCTCCCACTCTATCTGAACAAAAATGGAAAAAATGTCCTCAGGTGAGGACAAAAAAAAAAGAGAGAGAGAGGTAGATGGTGCTGGGAGCTTCCATAGAGGTGGGACCGAGGTGCTTAAGTTAATAAGGACGTGTTATGTTTCAAGAAATCAAAGGAAGGGAAGAAGTTTGAGACTCCTGTTCCCCTGGCAGTGACGGCTGGGCCCCACCCCCAGGTCCAGAGCCAGTGCGGCCGGGAATCTGCATTTCCACAGACGTATTGTGAACATACTGTGGAGAAGGCTTAGGAATGGGTCTAAAGATGAAGGGGCGGAGAAGAGTGCCCGTGGGAACAGCAGAGACTGTGTCTGGCTAGCAGGTGTGCACTGGACTGTTGCAAGGATGCGGGTAACATCAGGAAAGAGACAGACGACACTCCGACGGCGGGCAGCAGACTTGGCTCTGGGCTTTCTAGCGGCAAAGAGGGAAGAGACTAGCCGATCTGTTGCCTCTCAAACTTGAATGTTCGAATCACCTGGGGAATCCACCTAAAACACACCTTCGATAGGAGGTCTGTGGGGAAGGGGACCGAGATTCTGCCTCTTAACTAGCCCCCTGGAGAGGCGGGACTCCCTCACTCCAGGTGCCGAGAGCCCTGCGCAGGGTAGGCAGGTGCCCAACTGTACCCAGCCAGGGTCACATCTTGGGGTTTCAGTGGTCGGTCATGAGGGGGACAGCGGAGAGGACTGAAAGCCTCCTGGGGGAGGGCAGCTTGGCAGAATCCATGCAGGAGAGGATAGACTGTGATGTTGCTATGGAGACAGGAATGGAAAGGGGGTGCTAAGCTTTGGATTCTGTCGAAAAAGCTACCCGAGCATTTCTTCTTCCCCCAAAGCACAGTTTGAGCTCAGACAGCGAGGCACCTGGCTCCATGTCGTGTCCCAGGGGCGAGAGCGACTTCTGTCTGTCCATCCCAGGGCACCTGGACCCAAGGTACCCTGTCAGCTGTGAGGGGTGCATTCAGAGTAGGGGCCCAGGGCCCAGGGCCCAGGACCCAGGGCAGGGACTGAGAAGGCCCACCTGTGCCACTGCTGGGGGCTGGCACACAGGGCGGCTGTGTGGGGCTGGGGAGGGGCTGCATTCCCCATGTAGTCTGAGTGGGAAGGTGAGGGGTGGCCAAGGGGCAACACTTCAGATCCTGAGGGTGGCAGAGATATGAGCCCCCAGAATCCTCGGAGAGGTGGGTTGGCCACCGCCCCCATTGCCTTTATCTGCCTTCAAAGGAAGGAGCGCCCAGGAGGGAGTCAAAGGAGGGGGCTCCAGGCAGGGGCATTTGGTCTACCCTCCTCAGGGGGTCAAGGACAAGTCAGCAGGGCCAGGCCGGAGGCCAGCAGGACTCCACCCTGAGCTGAGCCAGGTTAGTGTCCCTCACCTGTGAAGGAGCACCATGCGGCCAGGCGTGTCTGGAGTTGTATCACGCCACCTGGCCTCTGCGTGGGGCTGAGGGGTCTGGGGACGGGGGCAGCGCCCGGGGGGCAGGAAGGATGGCGGTGCCTGCCAGGTGGGGGCAGGGAGAGCAAAGGAAAGGGAAGCAGGGATGGAGGCCCAGCATTAACACACTCCCCTCCCTGTCCCCGTCTTCTAAAGATGTGCCCACACCCAGCCTGCCCCTCTTTAAAGGGACAGATGCCGGAGAGAAAGCTGATTATTGTCAAAGGCTGGAGGCTGTGACCGGATCTCTCGGTTAGCGTGACCCAATTCTGAGCTATTCTCGGCCTGGTGGGAGCTGAGTAATTCCCTCCCGCTGATGCTGTGCTTCGCAGGCAGCCTGACTTTAAAATGCCCTCGGCCGGGGCACAGAGATGCAGCACGGGGTGGATGACCGGGCTGGCTGGGCCCCACCGTCCATTACCTGCTTGCTGAGGACCCACTGTGCGCAGTGCCCACGGGGCAGAGAAGGCCCTGCTGGCACCCAACCCTGTGCCTGGGGCCACGCAGCCCCTCCCTAAAACCTCAGACTTTCTCTCACTCTTGACTTGAGGTCAGGACACGTGACCAAAGTCTTGAAAAGTGCCCCCACAGCCAGGCTCCCAGGCTCGCCCTTGGTGCATGAGCTGTGGACAGAGACGGCGTGTTCCGGCCCGCCCACTGGCGGGAGGAAAGGGACTTTGTCAGTTCAGTCCCCTCGTGAGCAGGCCTGGCTGAGGCTGGCCAAGAGCACCCAAGCCACAGGCCTGAGAGGAACAGGAGCAGACTGCTACTTTAGGCCTCGGTTGTTTGGGGCAGTATTTGTTATGCGGCACACCTGTGGTGACAGCTAACGGATGCACCTGCCTTGAAAGTGGCGGAGGTCACGAAGCGCCATCTGCCCATGCCAGCGCTACATTCAGTTTCGGGTTTCCTTATGCAACTGACTACAAGCACAGTGACCGGAAGATGACCAGCACTTGCCGGAAGCCTCCACTCAATCGTTCCCCTTTTCCTGATGAGCTGCTCAAACACCCCTGAAGCAAAGAGCTATTCAAGTGCTTCAAAGCAGAAAAGATATCATCAGATGACCCAGACGTGGCCCCAAGATTCTGGCCTCGGAACCCGACACAGAGAATGGAGGGCTTCCTAGAGGTGGCGGCAGGAGCAGCCCCACTGATGACAATAAGCAGAAACACTGTGCAAACATTGATGTAATCCTGATCCACCCCATCCCCAGAGGGCAGATGTGACGCAGGCAGACATCCCCCCTGAGAGCAGAGTGGGGTCTGGCCACCTCCTGGACTGTTCTGACCCCCACCCCAGCACAGGTCCAACCCCTTCCCTTGCTTCGCTCCCACCATGCACCTCTTCCCTGACTGTACCTGGTCCTCTGGGAGCCCCTCAGGCAGGGCTGCCCTGAAGTCTGGACCCTCAGCACCAGGAGTGCAGGCACATGGCCGGAGCATTGAGCACAATCAGCCCCCACCTCAGGCTCCCTCCTGGGGCATCAGGAACAAAGCCCTGCCTGCCTGGAGACAGGGACACCCCCAGGCTGGCAGTGAGCCCAACAGCCCCTGCACAGAGCAGGCACTGGGCCCAGCCAAACTTGCAGCTGGGAAGGTCTCTCCGGGGCCTGCCAGAGGGTGTCCTGCTGAGGTCTGCCCACTCCCACCCGGGGAGGCTTCCTGCTCCCCCTCCTGTAATTTCCAGCAGCCTTGGACTCTGGAGCCTTCCAGGGCAACAGCAGACACCTCTCCCTTTTGCCTGTGGTCACACCCTAGGGGCCCAGCAGGGTAGGAGTGTGTGAATGGGAGGTCTTGGTGGGCAGGCAGAGGTGGGGGAAACCTGGAGCCCAGTGAGTCCAAGCTTCTCTGTGCCTCAGTTTCCCTACTTGTGCAGTGGGCTGGGGCTCCATGCAGCGTGCCCACCCCCAAGCTAGAGCAGGGGGCGCAGGTGTTGCCTGGAGAACACAGGCCAGGAGCAGGGCCCCTGAGGAGGGCAGGGCCGGGGGTGGGGCTTCCCGGGGGAGGTGGCGGTAGCTGGCACCCAGGGAGGCAGACTCCAATTCTGGCCCTAGGGTGGGATCCTGGCCGGGGTCCTTGGAGGTGGTCTCTGGGCCTTCTGTGGGCAGCGGAGGGAGTGGGATGTCACATCTTGGCTACTCAGCAGGGGTGGGGTAGGGCAGGGCAGGAATTTCCAAGGAAAAACTGAGGGCCACTGGATGTCTGGGGCGGGGACTGGAGTGGTGAATCCTTGCCCTGTGACCAGCCCCGTGCGGCTGACTAGGCGACCTTAACTGACCTGAACTGGTTACTCACTCGCCCTGGCCCTGCCTCTGGGCATCAGGCTCCCACTCCTCCTGCGGGGGCTCCAGGCTGCAGGCAGCCCCCAGGCGCAGCATGGGGCAGGGCTGAGCAGAGCTCCTGCCCGGGGTGGGGGTGGGAGGCAAGGAGATGTTGGAGGGGGCCTCAAAGGATGCACAGGAGCGCTGTGAACACTGGCCAGCTGCCGGCAGCACACACCCAGGTCTCGCCTTAGGCAGGGTAAGGCCCACATTCCTTCTCTGTCCCCTAGCATAGGGGTTTCATATGAGGTCTGGACAGGTCCTGGAAGGGGGGATAAGACCTGTGGAGCAAGATTACTAGTTCCAGGGACCTGAGGGGACAAAGGTCTTTCCAGGAGTCTGCACAGGATATGGGCTGGGGAGCACCTGCCTTGGGGCACTGGCGCCAACTAGGAGACTGGTCCCCCTGCAGGCCCACTTTGCTCTGCACCCTCCAAGGACTCACCAACCTGGGGGTGGCCTCAGGCCAGGATGGCAAGTCTCGGGGTTCCCTCTGGGCCCTTCAGGGAGCACGAGGCACTAAGGTGCTGGTGTGCGTGAGGCCTGGTGGGGCTGTTGGGGCGCCCAGAGCTGCGGGACACAGTGGGACACCCAAGCACACACTCGCTCTCCCCTCCCCCACCAGTCCCAGGGACAAGCGGCCCTTTTCGGGGCCGGATGGGGGTGGCCACACACTTGGCCCTTTGTCCCAGTTGTCCAAGGCTGTTGTCCTGCAGCCTAGAGCCCGGTGGCGCCTGTGAGACAGGGAGAAGCGTCGGGCCAGGAGGGCTGCATGGGGAGGTCCAGCCTGGCCACTGGCGCAGGGGAGGGGGCTCCAGCCTCTCGGGACACCAGAGACCAGTCAGCATGCAGGGCAAGTGTTTATTCTCCACACAGCACCCTGAAGCCCAGGGCAGATGCCCAGGCTGTTTGTGCCCCATGGCAGGCAGGGATGTCAGCCACATACCAGAGAGCAGGGGCACTTGGACCCTGATGTCCTGTCCTCCGTCCTGGATGCACCCCCTCTGGTCCCCAAGCCTCCTGGGAGGAGCAGGGGCACCTGAGAAACTCGGCTGAACAGGGTTCAAGCAGCTCCAACAGGGACTGGCCGGTGGGCTGGAGCTCACCACCATCTGGGGCTCGAGTGACGGAAGCTGTGCGTGCCCACGGCAGGTTCCCAGGGGAGGCAAGCGGGCCCCTTGGACAGTGTGGGTGGCCTCTCCCCAGTTGCTGGGCCAGCCTGGCCCCACCAGCTCTGGGGAGGGTGGGCAGAGGGGGCAGGGCTGAGCTCGACGGCCAGGGGTCCACTGCAGCACCAAGCCCCCCTGCCCTCCTCCCACCTCCTCCTGTTTGGGTCCACTGGGGATGGGGTGAGACCTGGGCCCCACCCCTGGTACCCCTGGGCGTCAGCACCCCAAAGAGCCATGGTAGTGGGGACTTCAGCACAGCAGAGACACTGGTGGAGCTGGGCAGGGGAAGCTCCCCCGGGGACTTGAGGCCTGGGGCTGGCCATCCCCCTTGGGCCACCCAGGAGGCGCCCAGGCCCCACCCCATCATCTGTCTAAACACAGGCCCAGCAGGCGTCCGCTGACCATATAAGGCGGCCTGCCTGGCTGAGCCTCCCCGCCTGGGCCCATAGCACTCCCAGCTCCCTGGAGCTCCTGGTGGGCAGCCCGCTAGTCCGGGGTCTTGGTGGCGAAGGTCAGGTAGCCAGTGTGGCCCACGGTCTCCTTCATGGGTGTGCCGCTGCGGAAGGGGCTGGCGTCGGGGCCGGGGCCGGCCCCCAGGTCAGGCGAGGGCAGGCTGACGGTGCGCACGGTGTACACCTGGGGCAGCGCCTCCACGGTGCTCAGCTCCGAGAAGCCGCGGGCCGCCAGCGCCTGGCACGTGCGCTGCACCTGCTCGATGCAGGGCGAGAAGGAGCAGAAGCGCCCGCCTGCGGGGAGAGGCTGGGTGTCAGCACAGGGAGCCTGGCTGGGGCTGGGCTGCAGGGCAGCGCCACCACCGTCCCTCTGGGCTGGGCCCTGGGGAAGAAACCACTGCGGCCCTGGCCGGTGGGACACCGAAGGGTCTTGGGTTTGACTCCTGGTCAAGAGCATGTGCCTGGGTTGCAGGTTTGATCACTGGCCCCAGTCAGGGTGTCTCTGCACAGTGATGTCCACCCCCCACCCCGCCTTCCTCCCTTCCTCTAAATATCAATGGGAAATATGCTCGGGTGAGGATTCACAACAAAAAAGAAACCCATGTGCGAGTGAGGAGGGTGGATGATGCCCGGACCCCGCCATGGGGTCTGAGGCTGGTCCTGTGCCCAGGCCATGAAGAGCTGGGGTGAGGGGCCAGGGGTTAGGTGGAGTCTTGGCATCACAGCTGCCAGCTCACTGGGCCCAGACAGCCCTACCCACGTGGCTCTAACCAGACACGTCGCACAGGGCTGGGCAGGGGAGGGGGCTCAGAGCGGGGAGGGCACAGCCCCCGGGACTGGAGGCGTGCACTGAGCACGCAGGCGGAGGATGAGCGGGGCTGGAGCTGTGAGCCTCTTCCTGCCGCTCCCACTGGGAGCCGTGCCCCCGCCTGGCCTGGTCTCAGACCTGGCAGGGAAGGTTCGGGAAGCGAGGGCGGGAAGGGGTGTGTGGCCCCGGCAAGCCCTTGACTTTCTGTGAGGCCCGGTCCTCTCACCCTAACGGGAACACGCGTCTCCAGGGCAGCAGGGAGGTCTGGGCTTGGAGGAGGCATGTGCAGCTTGACGGCAGCACAGAGGGCAGTGTCACTGCCGAGGGGACCCCACCCCTGTACCCCAAGAGGCTGAGGCCCCACCAGGTGAAGGCCTGAGCCTGCTGGCCGCCGAAGTCCAGGGAGCGGGGCCTCATCCCGGGGGGCTCGGCTCACAGCAGGCAGGTGAGCCTCTGGGCCCAGAACAAACATCCTGGGAACAAAAAGAGCCCAGAGGAGGGACCTAAAGGGCACAGAGAACGGGGACAACAGATGGCGTGGCTCCCCCAGGCCAGCTACCAGCAGGGCTGGGCAGCCGTCGCCGGCCTCCCTGGGACGGGGGCCCGGACCCACTGGTGTCCCTGGAGCAGGGAGCAGAGAGGGGCACTGGTGTTGGGGCAAAGCTGGAGAGGGCGGAGATATGGGGGAGCCCAGGCCACCTTGGCAGAGACCAGGGACCCGGGAGTCCAGGACGAGCCTGAGCCAGCTGGCGGGGGACCCACTGGTGGCTACCTTGATGTGGGAGCTGTCTGGCATCTGCCTTTCTTTTGAAGGGGCAGCCCCTCCCGCTAGCGACAGGCTCAGCTGGTAGGAGGGAAGGGGCTATGGCCCTAGCTGCTCCTTCTCCAGAAAAGGGAAAAACCCAGGACCCAGCCAGCGCCTCCCTGGCTCAGGGCCCACTTCCCGCCTCACACCACTTTCTTTCCTAAAAAGGACCAGCTGCCTGGCTCCTGGCTGGGGGAGGGGCAACTCTGCAGGGACCAGCCACGGTCAGGGACTGACCAGGGGCACACCCTGGGTACAGGTCCCCCCCTCCCTTGGGCAGGCTGCCACATTCCCCAGGGGCCTGAGACATCTCCCACCTTGGTTGGGGTGGGGTTGTACCGGTGGCAGCCGGTTGGAGTCCTGTTCTCCACGATCTGATTTCTCCAACCCTCCTCCTCTCACCGGGTGACCTCCCCCAAGGCTACTCTGGCCAGCCTGACTCACCCCCACCTCAGGCCAATGTGGGGGGGGGGTCCTGGCCGGGCCCCAGAGGAGGGCCAGGCCCAGAGCTGAGCCTGAGGACGCAGCCACCCAGAACCCCCTGCACCTTCAACTCTGAGGGCGTCCCAGGCGTGGCCCACCGCCTCCCACGGTGACGGGATGTCCAGGAAGACGGCGTCTGCCACGTGGCTGACGCCAAAGCCGCTGCGGCACACGTCCTGGTTGCGCACAGTCACCCAGCGGCCCACGCGGTGCTCCTGGAACTCCTCCCGCGCCTTCTCCGCCCGCTGCTGGTGGAACTCCACGGTGTGCAGGTGGCCCGTGGGCGCGATGGTGCGGATGATGGCGTGGGACACGGAGCCGCTGCCGGTGCCTGGAGGGCAGGATGGGTTCAGACGGGACTGCTGGGTCTGCCCAGGAGACAACCCTGAGAGACCACAGAGGGCCCACAAGGGCAGCTGGCCCCGGTACCAGTGGGCATCACTCACACTGCCTGTCAGTCTTGGCTGCCCTGTAACCTTCGGCTGGGAGCAGGCGAGCTGAGACTGATCGCAGATGTCTGCCTTGCCCAGTGCCGGTGCTGGAGCAAACCGGGCTGCAGATCTGGAGCCCAGGGTCTGGGCTGGGCTGGGGCTGGCCTGAGGCTCTGCAGGGTCTGGGCAGAGCCGACAAAGTGGCCTGGGTCTGTCCCCTCCCCTGAGCTCCAAGCCCACTCAGGTTGATCCATCTTTCTGCCCCCCATCTCCTCCACCCTCGTCTTGCTGCACCTCATGGCACCCTGACACCCGCTTACCAGAGCTCCTCTCCTGCCATGTCACTGTCTGTTTCCACCCGAGGCCACCCCTCTGCCTGGCTTCCTATTCTGCAGCACCCAGCTGGGGCCTGTGTCCCCCACCCACCCGACCCCCCTTACCCCCATGGCTGCAGGTGCCACCTACTTGCCGACAACTCCCCAGAGCCATGTCTCTCCACTAGACTCCTACCTAGCGTCTGCTGCACACTCACCACCTCCCCTCGACACCCAAACAGCACTCAGCACTAACAAGGGCAAAGCTGGACCTGATCCAATGCCAAGTCCACACCCTGCCAAGCCTTCCGCAACCCAATCAGCCACACCTGCTCAGCAGACACCAGAGGCACCCTGGACTCCCCTCTCCCATCACATCTGCTCCGCCAGAGCTCCTGCCACACCTCCCAGACCTCTCCTGCACCCACTGCTTGTCTTGTTCCCACCCACCGGTCCAGCTCTCTTGGGCCCCTCCCTCCTGGCTCTGCCACAGCCACCAGACTGGCTGCCTGCAGTCGTCCCAACAGCCCAGTCGGACCACGCTGACTCTCTGCGCGAGCTGGCAAGCTCCCCTCCACGCGGGTGGAGTTGGACTCCCGATGACGCTCTGCTATGCCCATCCCTCCCTGGCCTCGCTTCTTGTTCCTGCCACTTGGCTTCTGTGCTCTACCTCACGGGGGCCTCTGCATGCTCTCCCTCGAGGGGACCCTCTCCCTCGGCTCCTGGTAGATACCTCCTTCTCAGCACTTTCAACTCAATGTCCCTTCTGCAGAGAGGTCTGACTGCCCTGGCTGGAGGAGTGACCCTCACACACGCAGCCGTCTTACAAGCAATCAACACATGGAAGTGGTGCTGCCGACTTCACTGTCTGTCCATCTGAGAAGAAGGAATCTGGTCTGCCTGGTCCATGGCCGTGCCTCCAGATCTTAGGAGAGCTGGCACACCAGAGAAGCCTAGCGCGTGCCCACTGACCAAGCTTTCTACCCAAGTGGAGCGAGGCCCTGGTCAAGGGTGCAGCAGGGGATGAAACAGGCTCTGAGCTCTGCGGTCTACCTGCTACCGGCACCCCCGGTCCCTTGTGCTGTGTGCTGCGGCCTCTGCCCTGCCCCATCCACTCTCTGACCCAAAGCCTCAGGCCTGCATCCGACTCTTCCTATGTCAACGTGTCTGGCTGGGCAACAGGCACCATCCAGCCCGGCCGGTGTGGCTCAGTGGTTGAGCGTCGACCCATGTACTAAGAAGTTGCCTGTTCGATTCCAATCAGGGCACATGCCCAGGTTGTGGGCCAAATCCCCAGTGGAGGGCATGCAGGAGGCGGCCAATTGATGTTCTCTCTCATCGATGTTTCTATCTCTCTCTCCCTCTCCCTTCTTCTCTCTCCAAATTCAATAAAGAAAAAAAAATTTAAAAAACAGGAACCATCCAATTATCCACAGGGAGAAACTGAGGCCCAGAGAGGGACAGGATGGCCTGAAGCCCTCAGAAAGCTGGCAGCAGTGGTGACTCTTCATGACCCGCGAGCTCATAAGGAACATGCTGGGAACCTAGGACAGCTGAGCCTGCGTTGCTTGTCACCAGGCTGCATGCTTCACTCTCCACCCCTCACTGTTCCAGCCCCTCCGGATACGTCTGTGTGTGGAAAGGCCTGGGAACAGCTGGTTTCAGGCACTCCCACCTGCACCCCAGCTCCTGGGCTCAGCGATAATGCTGCTGGTTGGGAGTGTGCATGGGGCAAACTCCCCACCTACCATGGGCATCTCGAAGTAGCCCTGGCCACCCTCCAGGAAAGGGTACCTCTCAGCCCTGGGCCAGCCACTCTCTGCCCTTCTGTCAGCACCCAGTTAGGGAATGGCAGGCAGGTCAGCAACCAAGTAGCGCTGTGGCGCTGCCCCACAAAGACAGGCAGTACCCTCTGTGGCCACCATCCCAGGGGGGCCCATCCTTAGTCTAGTCCCATCAAATCTCACTCAGATTACAGCACCAGCCTCCTGACTAACTTCCTTGCTCCTGCCTTCACTCCCTGCAGTCAGCACCCAAGAAAGGACCTGTTAAAACAGAAGTCAAGTGGCCACGCCTGTCCTCAGGAAGGACATACTGGGCACTGTCTAAACATTGGGACTGACCTTCACTTAGTGTCAGTTTCTGAGGCAGACCACGCAGCGTGAAGAACTCACCAGATTCACAGACCACAGAGCCAGGCCGAAGCTCCAGCATCATGGTGAGCAGGGCAATGTCTGTGGAGTAGAGGATCTGGGTGCGGTGTGGCAGGTTCAGTGTCCAGAGTTCAGGCGTGGGGTGTAGGACATACACCCAGCCACCTCGGCCACAGGTCACCTTGGAACCAAAAGGGCGGCCGATGAGGTCGACTGAGTGGCGCAGGACGCCATGCCGGGTTTGAGTCTGTGCTCCTCGCTGCACGCGCACTGCCACCATGGCACCATGGCCCAGTGACAGGATGGCTGTGTCACCCTCTTTGATCAGCTCCTCATAAGCCACGAAGCTCATGGTGTTGCTCTCTGGTGGGTGTTAGGGACCTGGGAAGAGGTACAGGGGCATGAGTTCGTAAAGGCGACACGAGGCAGGACGTGCATGGTGACTCCCGGATCCTAAGCCATGGGCCAGGGGTGGTGGGGTGGCTGGCTCAGGCCCTGGCACTGTCCACCAGGGCAGCCCAATGGGCGCACTCTGGATGACATTCGAAGCCCTTCTTGGTCTGGGTCATGAGACAGAAGCCATCAGCCCAAATCAGATGGAGAGATGGAGAGATGGAGACCAGACCATGGCAAGGATTCCCAAAGTCAGGACCTGACCCTCTCATCCCTTCTCCACGAGCCTGGCACCCACTGTCCAGGTGTGAGATGAGAGCGGTCACCCGCGGGGAAGTAGCAAATGGTCACATCCACTCTAGGCTAGATTAGGTGGAACCCCCCCAGCCCCCCAGAGCAGGCTTCTGGGAGGACCGGTGGCAGACGGTGCAGGAAGGGCAAGGGCCCCACACGCAAAAGCTGGGGCCGCACAGCGGGCTGTAAACCGAAGCACGGGCCCGGCCGTGCAGCGCGCGGTGGGGAGGGTCAGGCCGGGCCGGGGCGGACCACGGAGACTGGAGGGGCGCGCAGGACCCGCCGGGGCGACCCCCGCCCGCGCACGCCCGCGGGGTCTCACCAGCGACGCGCCGCCGGCTCGGCCGAAGGGCTTCCGCACGTGGCTCGGCGGCCGCAGCACTTCCGGCTCCGGCCCGGCGCGCGGCGCCTGCCGATGACGTCACGGCGCCTCGCCGCCGCGGGCAGGACGGCGGGCGGTGGGCTCGGCCTCGCGGTGGGCTCCCTCGTGGATGCCATCCCTGCGTGTACGCACGCCGGTGCGAGACAAGCTGGAGATCCCACGGTCCCCGCCGCCGGCCGCCCGCGCACGCGCCCTGCCCCTGCCCCTGCCCCTCCCCGGCCGCCGGCCACGGCCAGCCCCCAGGCCCCCGTGAGGGCGCTGTGCCGTGGACATTTTGTCACTGCAAACCGCTCTGGGAACCCCCTGACTGGGCCCCAGGGTGCATTCCAGAAAATGCAATCGCAGGTCAGAGGGTCGTCCCAGAAGGCTTTGTCCGGGGTCAGCCAGGGTGCAGGAGGTGGAGGTCTGGCCGAGTCCGCAGTCGTGGCTTCCGCCCAGGCCCGCTCTCCCCGCCCGCCCACCCCGCAGGCCACATCCTCCGAGTGCAGAAGCTGCTGCAGGAGCGAGGGAGGTCCTGGGTCTCCTCCTGGGACCCAGGGTGCAGCTGGATGAACCGGGCTCACTTTGGGCTCAGTCGGGACAGTGCCAGCGGCCTGAGCCAGGGACTGGGGGAGGGGCAGAAAAGGGAAGGCGCAGCTCTGTTGTGTCTCAGCAGGGCTGATTCTGAACCCATTCCTCTCTGGGGGGGTGGGGAAGGGCGGATAGGGGCCGCAGACTGCCTCCAGCGCTCAGCTCCCTGCCGCCAGGGCTTGTCCCATTAGCCCTGGGGCTGGAGAGGGTCAGAGATGCCCCCAGCTCTCCCAGCTATCCTGGGGCTTGGCCTGGACCCTAACCTGGGCCACACTTCTCAGGCCCGGTCTGCTCTAATCTGGTAAAATGTGAGTGGCCAGGCCACTGCAGAACCCTGCCAGACTGTGGGGTTCTCTGAACTCTCCCTCCTCTGGGGCCAGGACTAGCCCATCTGAGGCCCTCAAAGTCCATGGTAGAAACACTGGTGCCTGACAGCCCTTCTATGCCCCTGCCCTGGCTGGGCCTGGGCGCCCTGGAGTAAGTAGGTGAGGAGCTGTTGGTGGCCTCCCGCACTCTGTGGGTTCACGTCCCTGTGGGGCTAGCACTCTGGCCACCAGTTGTCTGTGTGGCTGCATCATGGCCTCCCTGCCTCCTGCTCTCAACATTGAGACAACTCGGCCCCACCCATGGCTCACCCTCTGTTCCAGGTGACTCTGCCTTACCCCCTTGGTGATGCACCGCCTGAATCACTCCCTAATTGCTCCCTTGAGAGGTCTCGGTTTTCCACTTCTCCACTTCTCCACTTCTCCTTGAGGGTTCCTCTTTCCCCAGCACTCAGCTGTGGTAGAGCTGAGGCTGGGCGCCTACAAAGCCTAAATTAGGACTGGGTGATTTGGCAGTGGTTTCCTGTGCTCCCGACTTCCCATTCGCCTCTTTGGCCTTTGCTGGCTGCCCCCTCCTCTAGTCAGCCTTCCCAGAGCTGCCCATCTGCTCCATCTGAGCCTGCCCCAGCCCTCAGCCCGAGTTCTCCAGCACTGGCCTCTCCCAGGCCCCAGCTGATTCCCCAGCTCACGTTGGTGCCTTGCCCAGGGCAGTTTGTATATCAGGACTTTCCTAATAAGAACTGATACCACATAAGCCCAGCTAAGTGTTGCTGCAATTAATCCTCTCCACAATCCTGTGTGGGAGGGACCACTTTACGCAATGGGAAACAGACTCAGGGAGGTTAAGTAACTTGCCTAAGGTGACACAGTCAATGCAGCCAAAGTGGAATTGGGATTTAAAGCCAGTAAACCTGGCTGCAGAGAACTAATGTCAGGTTTGAAGAAAGGTGGGAAGAAGCAGGAAGGAAATCCTGGAGGAGAGGGTCAAGGTCACCCTGAAGGAAAGGGAGAAGCTGAGGATGCCCACTGGGGGAGGCTGCTCTGCCCACATCCCTGGCAGGGATCAGGTGAGAGGTCCCCTCCTCTCTGACCAGCCCAGCCTAGCAGCCCACTGTACTCTGTGACTGCAAGGCAGCCCCGCCCTTCTACTGAGCCCAGCCAACTTCCCCTCTGGGTTCTGCAGAACTTAGGGACAGGGCACAGAAGGAAGCAATGGCTGCCCTGGTTGCACTCTGACAGAGACTCCAAGGATGGCCTCTGGTCCCCAGCCCACCTTTGCACTTGGCCCACCTCTGCCTGCCCTGCTGAGCAGGGGTCATGATCTGTGGATGAAAGACCAGGGACTCCTTTGAGGCTTCCCTCCCTCCCCTTCCAGGGCTGGGTGATTAATGAGTAACAAAATGTGATTTCTGAGGAACCCAGACCATAAACTGGCCAGATGATGTCACCTGGCTTCTCTCCTAGACGCCACCAAACCGGCTTCTGTGGGCCCTGGGGAAAGTGGAGGGTCCCCGATGAGAGCTAGGTTAGCAGGGGCACTCTCCAGCCCTGCACCCTTGCTATCCTGCTCTGGGACCACCAGGCTCCCAAGCAGACCCTGCCTAGTGTGGGGCCTCACCTTGACATTTGGGTCTAAAGGCCTCAGGGGCCCCCTCCGCTTCCCCAACCACAGCTGCTGACCACCCTCATTGTCAGTCCGAGTCCAGCCCAAGTTTGGCCTGCCAGCGGTCCCCAAGGTGGGCCCTGGTCAGGTCAGCACAGGGCCAGCCATTCCAGGCTCATTGAGGGATTACCAGATCTCTGACCTGGTCCCTCTGTCATCTTCTGATCTTCCTTTTGCTTCTTTGCAAAATGGGTACAAAATACCCATCTGAGAAGTGCTGGAGCCCCAGGTAGGGCATCCCCAGGTCCTGGGAAAGGCACCCCAAGCCTCTGGACCTACTTTTCCAGTGTGGACCTTGCTTGTGGAGGGAGTCCTTCCCTCTCCCCAGTCCCCAAAGTGGCCAGGTCCTTGGTGGCCTGGGGGTGGGGGAGGGGTGGACTTCTGAGAAGCTGCAGAGGCTGAAGACAAAGAGGAAGCCCTGAACATGTCCCACCCACTCCTTGGGGTCTGAAAACCAAATCCACCTCCAGGGCCAGCAGCTCTGGTTTCTAGAAACAGAAACTTGAGCCCATCAGGCCTCTGGACCTAGGGAGGGCAGCTGCAGACATTTCTAAAACGGGAAGGGGCTGCAGGGGCACTGTGCAGGAATTCCAGGCTTCAGGGGCACCTGCTGTCCAGCCAGTCTGGACCATCTGCCCTTTTACAATGGTTTTTTTTATGGACCTAAGAAAAAAAGCTTGCTGGGAACAGGTCAAAGCATGCCAAGGTGAGAGGGGGAAAGAGGCAGGAGTGGTTTCTGCAGTCACCACAGGGGCTGCCAATGAGACAACACAGCCTTCGAGCTGCAGGGATGTGTTTGTAGGTTGGAAGTTGGGTCTCTGCCTCTGAGCCATTCCCCTTGCACACTGGGATTCCTGGCTCTGTCCCCGCCCCCGGCCCCACCCATCTCCTCCCATCTGGTGTTTTGTTCACTTGGCGGCTTGCTCCAGCCAGCCTTCCCATCTTCCCCCAGCAGTGGCATGATGTTTGCCTTGCTGCCCCCAGAGCTCATGGTGCTGGCCTGGGGGGATTTTGTTAAATACACACATAGACAAGGAGTTCCTTCTTTCTTGCTTTATTCTCAAAGCAACATCTGATGGATATTAACCACAGGCTCTCCAATTCACTCTTTTGTTGTTGTTAATCCTCACCCGAGGATATTTTTCCATTGATTTTTATATAGAATGGAAAGGAGGGAGGAAGGAGGAGGGGGGGGGAGAGAGAGAGAGAGAGAGGGAGAGAGAAGCATCGATGTCTCTCATCCATTGGTTGTCTCCTGCATGACCCCCACCGGGGTTGGGATCAAACCTGCAACCCAGGTATGTGCCCTTGATCAGAAATTGAACCGAAACCCTTCAGTCCACAGGCTGATGCTCTAACTGCTGAGCCAAACTGGCCAGGATCAATTCACTATTTTAAAAGGTTTCTTTATTTCTTTTAGAGAGAGAGGAAGGCAGAAGGAGACAGACAGAGGCATCAATGAGAGAGAACATCAATTGGCTGCCTCCTGAATGCCCATAACCTGGGCATGTGCCCTGATCAGGAATCCAACTGGTGACCTCCTGGTGCACGGGTGGACGCTCAACCACTGAGCCACACCAGCCCAGCTCAATTCACTCTTTTTTTTTTAATCCTCACCAGAGGACATTTTTTCGTTTTTTTGTTCAGATAGAGTGGGAGGGAGAGAGAAAGAGAGAGAGAGAAAAACATCGACGTGAAAGGGACACATTGAGTGGTTGCCATCCGCACAACCCAACCAGGGCTGGGGACAAACTGCAACTGAGGTACATGCTCTTAATGGAAACCGAACCTGGGTCTCTCTGGACCGCAGGCCGACGCTCTAACCGCTGAGCCAAACTGGCCAGGGTTCAATTCACTCTTTTTAAATACCTGTATAATATTCCACATTGGGGACATGCCTCCTATCCCTGGCTAGTCCCTAAGTGATGGGCATCGAGTTATATCCATGTTGGTTTGTGTGTTTGTTTTTCCCTCTACATATATCTGGGTCTATCTACAAAGAGAAACGAGAGCGTCCTTTCTATAAGCTGACTTCCTAGAAGTGGGATAACAGGGTCATGGAGTGTGAATATATATATATTTTTTATCCTCACCTGAGGACATTTTTCTATTTTTTGTTCAGACAGAGTGGGAGGGAGAGAGAGGAAGAGAGAGAGAGAGAAACATCGACGTGAAAGGGACACATCGAGTGGCTGCCACCCGCACGAGCAACCAGGGCTGGGGACAAACTGCAACTGAGGTGCGTGCCCTTAGCGGGAACCGAACCCGGGTCTCTCTGGACCGCAGGCCGACGCTCTAACTGCTGAACCAAACTGGCCAGGGCAAGTGTGAATATTTTGAATAGATACTGCCAAGTTACTTTCCAAAAAAGATGCAGAGATTCGCAGTTGTGAATGCTTGTCTTTCTACATTCCAACCCATAGCTGACACTGGCTGTGTCAATCTTTCACTAATCTGGGTGTTGGGGGTAGTGGAAGGTAGTCATTGTTTTAATTTGCATGACTCTGATTTTTAGTGTTTTTTAAAATCTCACCTATACTTATTGTTTGTTAGCGTTTCCTCTCATCTTTGCCAGTCTCTGCGGACTGCCTTTGGGGTTGGGTGGTGAGGCTGAACCTGTCCCCTCTGGAGAGGGTCCAGGGCTGGGGTCTGGAGACTGAGACTTTGCACTCCCCAGTGGCCTCTCTGGGCTGCATCTACCAGGAGAGGCAGGCCCGGGGGTCTCTAGCTCTGATCCTTCAGAGCTCAGGGACTTCCCCAAGGTCAAGGCACCACAGATGCTGCCAGGCTGGGCCGCAGCCAGACTGCGCCTCTGGTTCGCTTTCACTACTCTGCACCAAGATCGCCCAGGAGATGCCTGGGGCACCTTGAGGAAGGTCAGTGGCTGGGAACCAGCTGGGACAGCACCAGGTGGGGATCAGTACCTGTTTCAGAAGCCTGGGACTCTCTCGCCCCGCCCCTTGCCACCCTCATCTCAGGGACTAGCGGGAGGAGGGAAGGCAGGGAACCAGGATACAGACAGGATCCAGCGTCTTTAAGTGCCTTTAAGTGCCCGGTGGTTCTTCTGCCTCAGTTTCCCGCCCGGAGGCAGTGTCGTGGAGATCTGAAGGATGCCCAAAGGTCTGAGGTTCCTACCTTGGGCTGGGCAGGCGACAGCCAGGGTAGGTGGAATGCACTGGGTCTTCGGAGGGGATCCTCAGGGTGGGCGGCCTGGGGGTGGGGGGGTCTGGAGCTGTGGGCGGTGGACAAAGCGGAGACACCACCCCGCAGCGCGGACCAATGGAATGAATGGGATATAAATAGCGACCAATGGGCGGCCCGCTTTGCTTCCCTTAAGAGTCCCGGGAGCGCGGAGCAGCCGCTGTTCGCCTGCGCCGCTCCCCGAGCTGTGGCAGGACTGTGCGCCTCCCTTCACGTCCAGCTGCTGGGTGAGTGGGCCCGAGGGCCTGGGACGGCAGAGATCAGTGCCGAGGCGGGGGCGTGCGCACGGAGGGGGCGCGGGAACCGCGGCGTCCTGTGCTCCGGGTGCGAGGACTCCTGCCTGGAGCAGGAGCGCGGGCAGGATCGGGGTCCAAGGTGGTGCAGACACCCACAGCGCGTGCGGCAGACCCCACTGACCTTGGCCACGTCCTAGGATGATTGGGGACCGGGGCCACAGGGTCCTGGGTGGTCTGCGGGCCCTGGGAGGTTGGGTGCCCCGAGTCCCCTCTGATCCCCCGTCTCCCCGCAGCCCGCCGCCGCCGCCATGCCCTTCTCCAACAGCCACAACACGCTGAAGCTGCGCTTCCCGGCGGAGGATGAGTTCCCGGACCTCAGCAGCCACAACAACCACATGGCCAAGGTGCTGACCCCCGAGCTCTACGCAGAACTGCGCGCCAAGAGCACGCCGAGCGGCTTCACGCTGGACGACGTTATACAGACCGGAGTGGACAACCCCGGTATGCGCAGCCGTGTCGGGGTCAGGGTGTCGGCGCCTCACCCGCAGGACATCCCCGGGGCCAGGGGCCAGGGCCCTCCAGAATGCACCACGGGCCAGGGTCCCTGCGCCCCCTCCCTGCAGTTAGCTGCAGGGTGTTCGGCTGCGGGCTTGAGCCTGGCAGTGACGTCACTGTCTCCGTTTCTCGCCCTCCCCCAGGCCACCCCTATATCATGACCGTGGGGTGTGTGGCGGGCGACGAGGAGTCGTACGACGTGTTCAAGGAGCTCTTTGACCCCATCATCGAGGACCGGCATGGTGGCTACAAGCCGAGTGATGAGCACAAAACCGACCTCAACCCGGACAACTTGCAGGTGGGGGAGAGGGGTGCCGCGTGGTGGGGAGGGCTGGAAGGGGGGTCCCAGTGCTCATGTCCGTTCTGCCTGCAGGGCGGTGACGACCTGGACCCCAACTACGTGCTGAGCTCCCGGGTGCGCACCGGCCGCAGCATCCGCGGCTTCTGCCTCCCCCCGCACTGTAGCCGTGGGGAGCGCCGCGCCATCGAGAAGCTAGCGGTGGAAGGTAGGGGTCCCAGCCCCGCCCACCCGCCTTGTTTACCCGTCATCCGAGCCGCTGCAGACTTATCTGCAAGTGTGGTCCGGTTTCCCGAGGGACCGAGGCCCAGCCTTGAGCGGACAGTGGCCTGGGGCCCGGCGAGGGCCGCCGTCTCGGACGGCCGCCCGGACCGCGTAGACTAGGCTCCCACAGGGATGGTCGCGCGTGGGGAGGTGGCGGCCCGAGCCTCTGGGGAGCAGGTGGAGCCGGCTCGCAGCAATCCCCTGAGCGAGCCTCTCCGCAGCGCTGTCGAGCCTGGACGGCGACCTGGCCGGCAGGTACTACGCACTCAAGAGCATGACGGACGCGGAGCAGCAGCAGCTCATCGATGACCATTTCCTTTTCGACAAACCAGTGTCGCCCCTGCTGCTGGCCTCGGGTATGGCCCGGGATTGGCCTGACGCCCGCGGCATCTGGTGCGTGCCCTCTTCCCTCCCCATCCCGTGGGTCCAGGTTCCCTTCCTCAGCCCCAGCCCCGCCCCCGCCCCCGCCAGGAAGAGGGAGGGGCCGCGCTCCTGGGGCAGGTTTGGTGCCGCCCAGGCCTCCAAGCAGGTGACCTTGACTGCGCAGGTGCGTGGAGGGACCAAGCTGGTGGAGGCCTGTCTCTCCGGATCTTAGAGGTGGGGACAGATTGTGTTGGCTTCTCTCCTCCACCCAGTATTGGGAGCTGGAGCTTCTTGTTTTCTTTTCTCACCGGCTTCCCGGCCCCCCCCCCCCCCCCCGGGACTCTGCCAGGTACTGGGTGACGCACATGATTCCCACTGGGGTGAGAAAGGGCTTAGTGTCTCCTGCTTGCTCCCACTGTCTGTATAGGGTGGGCTTCAGACCCCAGATACAGTGCTTTCCCTGGCGCGGGTGGGGGTGGGGGGCGTTGGGGGAGTTGTCCTGGTTGCCCTTGCCCCTTACCTCCTAGCTTTTTGAACCGTATCTGAGGTGTCCTGACCTCCCTGCCTGTCCCCTGGGTACAGCTGGATGGAACACCTCAGGGACTTGTGAAATTTCTCAGGTCTGGAGAGCCCCTGGAGTTTTATTCTGGAGGTGCCCTGAGACCACAGTCCAGGGAGGAGGCTTGACTCTTCCCCTTATCCCCCAGGCACAATGACAATAAGACCTTCCTGGTGTGGATCAACGAGGAGGACCACCTTCGGGTCATCTCCATGCAGAAGGGGGGCAACATGAAGGAGGTGTTCACCCGATTCTGCAATGGCCTCACCCAGGTCAGGCCTGGACACCCCCAATAGTGGCTGGCACAGTGGGGGTTTGGTGCCAGGGAGGGGACAAGACCAGGCCCTGGCTCCAGAGCTCAGGCAGGGACTGGTACCTTATCAGTCTCTAGGAGCCCAGGTCTCAGTCAGCTCAGGATCCTGTCAGGGGGCTCTGGGTCCCAGCTAGTCCCTTGCAGGGACGGGTGTTTCACCAGGCCTCACCTCTCACCCTGCCTTCTCCACCTCCAGATCGAAACACTCTTCAAATCTAAGAACTACGAGTTCATGTGGAACCCTCACTTGGGATACGTCCTCACCTGCCCATCCAACCTGGGCACAGGACTTCGGGCAGGTGTGCACATCAAGCTGCCCCACCTGGGCAAGCACGAGAAGTTCCCGGAGGTGCTCAAGCGGCTTCGGCTTCAGAAGCGAGGCACAGGTGAGTGGCACAGGGGCAGGGTCTACCAGTTGTGTTCTCTCCCTGGGGCAGCTCCCACCACAGCCCTGCTGACCTGCTTGTTTCCTTAGGTGGCGTGGACACGGCTGCTGTGGGCGGGGTCTTTGACATCTCTAATGCAGACCGCCTGGGCTTCTCAGAGGTGGAGCTGGTGCAGATGGTAGTGGATGGTGTGAAACTGCTCATTGAGATGGAGCAGCGGCTGGAGCAGGGCCAGGCCATCGATGACCTCATTCCTGCCCAGAAGTGAAGCCCCATCCCACACCTGTCACTGCCACCAGCCCTGCTGCTTCCTAACTTATTGCCTGGGCAGTGCCCACCATGCACCCCTGATGCTCGCTGCCTGGCAGCTGAGCCCTTAGCCTCGCTGTAGAGACTTCCGTTGCCCTAGGTAGAGTTTATTTTTGTGATGGCTAAGATGTTGCTGATGCTAAAATAAACTAGGGTTTTGGCCTGCCCCGAGTCTGCCCTTTCTGCTTCATTTTCTGAGAGATGGAACAGTAGCTAGGAAGTGGTCACCCTGCTGTGCCCATTTGGTCCTTTTCCGTGAACTCCCCCTTTTGGCCATCCCTGCAGGCCTGGCTGGGCTGGGGGAGGGACGAAAGGGAGGAGCTCCAGGATGGCAGAGCCCCAACCAGAGTAAGAGCACTTGGGCCTGGGGCGGGTGGAGTCTGGCACTGCTCAGCCCCATCCTGCAGAGTGGGGGAAGTGTGGATGCTGTGAGGAGGGCAGGAGGCCCGAAACTGGATACCATTCATCCCTTCACCCCCGAATACTCCCCTGATCCCTGGTCCTCCTCAAGTTATCCTGGCAGCCTCCCTTCCCCAACACCTACTCTGCTAATCTCTCCCCTCAGGCTGGACTGGGCCCTCTGTGGCCCCCAGGCCCAGCCTTACAGTCCCTCCCAGGAAGCCCTGGGCCCTTAAGTTCCCCTCCTCCTCAGGAGCCTCAGGTGCCCCAGCCCTTTGGATTCCCATAGTGAGTCCCACCACAGGGTCCCTGGCCAGGAGGGGAACTGGGGCTGTTCTCCTTGGTCTGTTTCCCAGTCATGCCCCAGCTGCCATTGTCTCTGATTGGTTTCTCACTCTGGGGGACTTGGATAGGGCTAGGGGAGTGGAGGTGGGTCTGGTGAGTCAGCAAGGGCCAGGCTGTTCTTTCTCCAACTCCTTAGCCCCTGAGGACAGTCTGTGCTGCCACCTGCTGGCCGGAGCCGCCATTGCTGCCACTCCCCGACCCCCACTAGAATCTGGGTGCCCCCAGTCCTTAAGCGTGGGTTGGATAGGCCTTAACCTCCTGAGGTTACCCTGCAACTGTGAGAAGCCAGGCATGGCTTCTACGCCTACCATATCCTGGGCTGGGCGGTCTTGCCCACCAAAGATTGTGTGCTCTCATTACCTGGGGCAAGGGCATCTTGTCAACCCAGACCCTGGGGCTCAGCACAAGCAGGTGGGGGGAGGGCAGCAATGGAGGAGTTGCAAGTGTGTCCTAGCATCTGTCTTGGGGGCTGGGTTCGGTCTGAGGGGCCTAACAAGGTGGTGTCCAGGCTGGGGAGGGCTGTCAGGAGCCTATGCCAGGGACTGCATGAGTGAACACCTGGCTGGGTTGACTCCCTGGTGCACAAGGCTGGTGGGGAGGACATCTCTGCACCCATCTTTGGGGCTCCAGGTTGGGCAGACACAAAAGGCCAGGCTGGGGAAACATCAGGCAGGGCTCCCTTTTATTGGCTTGTGTCCTCTGGCCCAGGGTGGCTGGGTCAGGAGACGGCAGGAGCAGTGGCAGTGCGTGGGCTGAGGGGTTCCTGGCAGGGTCTGCCCGTGCCCCTCCAGTGAGGACCCAATGACTGAATGTCCCACCCCACCCAGGGGTGTGCACCAGCCCCTGAGCAGCCTGCTCGGGCAGGCACATCGCTTCTTGATGGAATGTTTCAACATCACCCCTCACTGGACTGTCAAACGGCACCGCACTCAGCATGCCACCCAGGAAAGTCCAGGGTGACAGGGTCTAGCTCAGGATTTCTTCGCAGACAGTAAAGCCATCTCCTGGGGCTGGAAAGATCAAGCCCCACCCTCTTCCCCTGGGCTCCTCAGGAACCTGGTCAAGCAAGTTCCCTGGGGCTGTCTGAGGCTCAGCTACACCTGACTGGACACTAGGGCCATGCTCCTGGGCCACCTGATTTCCTAGCCAATCGGATCCTTTGTTTCATCTTGCTGTACTGAATGCACTCTGGTAAGCTGCCTTTATTCTCTCTGGGACAAGGCATCCGCTCAGCAGTCCATGAACAGATCCTTCCACCACGACCCCACAACTTCCCCTTTCCTCTGGACTCCGGAGACCTTTAAGTTGGGCGAGTTTCATTTTCCTTGACATTATGGTCCAACTTGGGAACTATGATATGCTCCCCCACACACTACGGAGGGAACACACTTTATTCACTCACTGTCCCAGGTGGAGGACAGCAATTGGCAACACTGGCAACATTCAGAGCCGTCATGGCCATTGTGGCTAGGAAATGAGCCCATTGCAGCCCCACTGACATCCAGGCAGGACAACTCTGTGGCAGTCTGTCTCCCAGGCACCGCCTGGTGCTCATCGCTGGCCTCCAACCTCTAGATACATACCAGCGGTATTAACTACCCGCCACCACCCACTTGTGACACTGCAAAATGCCCCATAGGGACAAAATTGCCCCCTGCCCTTTAAGAAACACTCACTGCCCTGCAGAAATAATTAAGATACAATCACTTAAAGCCGGGAGAACTGGTCGGGACCGCCAACAACAGAAAGGGTCAGTTCAAAACCTGGGCGAGGCGCCACACAGGCACCCATGACAGTGTGCAGGACTCGGCGAGATGCCGGTGTGCTTCAGAAAGCTGAAGTGTAAAATCAGGTTATAAACAGCTTGTACTCAGATCCCACTCAGAACATGTGTGGAGAAACCCCAAGAACAGGAGTGAGCTGTAGGTGGTAACAGGTGACTTCCTTCTTTCCAAATTTCCTACAGTGAACATGTATTACTTACATAAGCCAAACCAAATTCTTTGAATGTTTTTTTAAAAAATGTTTCTATTGATTTTTTTTTAGAGATGGAGGAAGGGAGATAGAAACAGTGATGTGAGAAACAGGGATGGGCTGCGTCCTGCACGACCCCCCCAGGCGTTTGCTCTGACTGGGAATCGAACTGGCACCTCTCAGTGCATAGGGATGGCACTCAATCCACTGAGCCACACCAGCCAGGCTTAAATGTTTTTCTTTCTTTAAAAAAAAAAAATTTTTTTTTTCTTTATTGATTTGAGAGAGAGAGGAAGGGAGAGGGAGAGATAGAAATATCGATGAGAACATCAATTGGCTGCCTCCTGCATGCCCCCCACTGGGGATCTGGCCCACAACCTGGGCATGTGCCCTGACCAGAATCGAACTGGCGACCTCTTGGTGCTCAGGACAATGCCCAACCACTGAGCCACACGGGCTGGGCTGAATGTTCTTTTTTTCAACGCTCTGATGTACAGTTCATGGGAGACCACTGAGGCAGGGCTTCACTGTCCCCGCCCTCATCTGCTCTGCTTAAACAATCACCACCCACCCTTGGAGGGGAAAATGAGGCTGAGAGAGGAGGGAGCACTGGCCAGGGTCACCAGGAGACCAGCTGGTTCCAAGTCAAGGGCTCTTTTCACTGTTGACTTTCTGCAACATTCTAACCCTGAATTCTAGCTCTTAGTAGGAGCTGAAGAGGCGGCAGCTGCCTGAAGGTTCCTTGTCTGCACTTCTACTTGGAGCACAGAGCTGACACCAAAGCCTCCTACAGCACCCTGGGGGCTGCACCTTGTACTCAACGACTGATTCTGAGTTAGTTTCCTTTTCCACAGGTAGCAAACGGAAACAAGCTTTTTTTTTTTTTTTTTAATCATCCTCACCCGAGGACATTTTTCCATTTTTTGTTCAGGTAGAGTGGGAGGGAGAGAGAGGAACAGAGAAACATCAATGTGAAAGGGACACATCGAGTGGTCGCCACCCACACGACCAACCAGGGCCAGGGACAAACTGCAACCGAGGTACGTGCCCTTAGCGGGAACCAAACCCGAGTCTCTCCGGACTGCAGGCCGATGCTCTAACCACTGAGCCAAACCGACCAGGGCGGAAACAAGCTTTTGATGACAAGAAGTCATCTTCCTGGCTGTGAGGTTTCCAGGAGCAGGGAAGAGAATTTCAGCTGTGAGAAGTGGGGCTTTTAGCATGTGAACTAGATGACAAAAACCTGGTTCTGGAGCCTGACTGGTGGCAGTCACAGGCTACACCCACAGCATGGGGACTTTTTCCACCTTTCTCCTCGAGCCCCACTCTGTAGATCTAGTTCTGCTTGGTTTCAGAAGTCCTGACTTTCACACCCTTCTGAGAGCTGAGGCTTGTCAAAACTGAAGGCCTGGCTTAAATAATTAACTTAAGCCCTGGCTGGTTTGGCTCAGCAGTTAAGAGAATCCACCCGTGGGTCCTGGGTCTGGTTCTCAGTGAAGGGTACGTAGGTTCGATCCCCAGCCCTGGTCAGGGTCATGTGGGAGACAACCAATCAATGTGTCTCTCACATCAATCTTTCCCTCCCTTCCACTCCATCTAAAAATCAATGAAAAATATCCTCAGGTGAGAATTTACAACAACAACAAAGTTTAAAAAATAATAATAAACTTAAGACCCAGAAAAACTAAAAGTACTCTTTCCAGCTACTCGTTTCTGATGAATCTGTGCAGAGGGCTGCAGCCATTCTCCGCTCTGCTTTCCTAACAGCCTGCTTCTGGCACTGGCCTGCTGCAGCACCTTTCCAAGGCTGTCACCTTGGGACAAAATGTTCCTGTGCCATCTTGAGATGAGAGGACAAGGGCCCTCAGTCTGGTAGGTGAACATCTCCAGGTGTGCAACCGGGTGCATGCATGTGATAGCCAACACCACTCCTGACTTGGCGATGGGGACTGGGGATGGAACCCTGCTCTGCCATTCACTAACCCTCCTTGCAAGGTGGGGCCCACCTATGTGCTTGCTGGTCTGCTCAGGGCCCTGCAGGGCTTGGAGATGAATCTGCCCCAAAATTTAGTTGGAACTGAGATCAGTGGCTCCAGAAACAGCCTGGCTCTGGGCACCTGCCATGCCAATGTGCACTCAGAGTGGACTGGAAGCAGCAGGTGCAGCTGAGCTGGGTGCTGGGTTTGAAGACTTCGGACTGACAGCAGTGGCTCCACCTCCAGACCCATTTTCCTTCGGCTGGGGCTCCCGCCTGCACGTCTCTGCTTTCCACTCTGCCCTGCCCACCCAAAGCCCAGGGACCACCTCTGCTCCCCGCCTGCCCCACCCTCCTTCCAGGCAGGACCTCAGCTCTCTCCAGTCACTCTCCTTGGGAGTTATCCTCTGTTCCACTCCCCATCACACAGCTGTTTCATTGTGGACTTTCTGTGAATGCAGACCATGGGGTCA